CATAGAGAGATAATTTTACCTCCTCTTTGCCAATTTGGATACCTCTTATTTCCTTCTCTTGTCTTTTTGCTCTCGCTAAGACTGCCAATACAATATTCAATAAGAGAGGTGAGAGTGGGCTTCTTTGCCTAGTTCCTGTTCTTAAAGGGAATGCCTTTAACCTCTCTTTGTTGAGAATGATGTTGGCTCTTGGGTTTTCATAAGAACTTTTTCTATGTTGAGGAACTTCCCCTCTAATCCTATTTTGTTGAGTGTTTTCATCAGGAAAGGGTGTTGGATTTTGTCAAAGGCCTTTCCTGCATCAATTATTAGGACCATGTGGTTCTTTTTCTTTGCTTTCTTAAGATGATGAATTACATTGATTGTTTTCCTTATGTTGAACCAGCCTTACATACCTATTATAAAGCCCACTTGGTCATGATGGATTATTTCTTTGATGTATCGTTGAATTCTATTGGCCAGGATTTTATTCAGTATTTTTGCATCTATGTTCATAAGAGATATTGGCCTCTAGGTTTCTATTTTGGTGGTGTCCTTTCCTGGCTTTGGTATCAGGGATATGTTTGCTTCATAGAATGAATCTGGGAGAATTCCATCTTTCTCTATTTCCCGAAATAGTTTATGTAGAATTGGTGACAATTCCTCTTTGAATGATAAAATTCACTAGTAAAACCATCTGGCCCAGGGCTTTTTTTGGTCGGAAGTTGTTGTATTACCTTTTTAATTTCTTCTTTTGTAATGGGTCCGTTCAGATGTTCAGTTTCATTTTCTGTTAGTTTAGGTAGGTTGTGCATTTCTAGGTATTTGTCCATTGCCTCTAGTTTTTCAAATTTGTTTGCGTATAATTTTTCATAATAATCTAATGTTAGGTTTTTTTATTTTCGTTGGTTCTGTTGTGATGTTGCCTGACTCATCTCTTATTCATATTATTTGTGTTTCTTCTTTCACTTTGTGAGATTTGGTAATGGTTTGTCAATTTTATTGACCTTTTCAAAGAACCAACTCCTAGTTTTGTTGATAGTTTCAATTGTTTTTCGGTTTTCTATTTCATTTATTTCTGCTGTAATTTTTATAATTTCGGTTTTTTTAGAGGGTGTCGGGTTTTCTT